AAAATGGTTATGAGGTCCTTACAGAGACAGCCTCTTAAGTATGGTGCTCCACTTGCGCGGCCCACGCGGGAGCTCCGCTATAAAATAATGCTACTAGTGAAAAAATAATTCACATGTTTGCAAGAGAAGGCATTGGACATTGTATTGTTTATGTAATTTTTTATCTTCGGTTTGCTTGCAGAAGACATTACTGCTGGTCAGGGGTCTGGAGTACAACAAGGTATATAACAAATAATAAAATAGTACTAGAATTTGCTAAAAAGTAATTCACATATAGTTAATACATGAAATTTTTCATTTTTGGTTTGCAGGCGACAATAACTCTGGAATTCAAGGTGATGTTTTTAGATTTTAGATAGCATGGCTGAGTTACAGGCTTGGAATGGGGAGGTTGTTGTGATTTATACACATCTTGTCAACTGTTCTTAATAAAGATTTTTAATTTAATTTTTTTGTTTTTTACATTTTGGATCGAAAAACAGTTATCAGCAGTGATGAAGAAGATGATGGAGGTGGCTATAAAATAATTTTATATTATCAGAATATTTCCACCTTACATGTAGTTCTAAATTTTTATCCAGTTATCTGATTTACTTATCGAATRTTCTTTTATTTACTTATTTAGACCTGGAGAGACCAACGTTTCGGATAACAATAGATGACTACAGAGGTAAGTAGAAAATTTTACAACATGCATGCTAAATATAGCTAGTCTTGTGTGTATTTGTATGAAGGTTACATAAATTAAATGTAAATATTTTTCACCCATTTCTCCAAWTCACAATGAATAGTGTGTTCAAACTGCAAGCTTGTAATGTTTGGGTGCCATGATGAATGTTGGATCATTCACAAAAACTGTTAATAATTTATTGTGATCATAAGTTTGTTTTCTGGTTATTTACAGCAGAAATAATCTGTTAAATTAGCTCCTGCAGGCATGCATACACGATCAAATGATAGTCAACAGCTTAACTACAGTACATCCCAATAACTGTAACATGCAGTTATACATATCATGATTTATATATATGACCAAGTCCTTTTTCTTTACAATCAAAGTTATTGATAATGCACAATGTTTCATAATCATCCTGACCCGATTATCAAGTGTAAATAACTTGACAATGGGGTCACAATGACTTAAAAATATCATCTGTTATTAATGTTTTTGAATTTCTGATCTTTGATTTATTTGAAAACATTTGTTGATTGTGTCTTTTTTATTTTGATAGCAAGGATACTACGTGTGGGCCACACAGTGCAAGAAAACTTAAATGTTGSTAATTCAGGTTGTTATGATAATTATGTTTTCCAGTCATGCTTGACRGCTGTATTAAGGATCATTAGGTGCAACACACACATTGTTGTTGAATGCAATCGATGTGGAATGATCGTAGGAGATGTTTGCAACAGACGTAGTATTACATAAAAAAACAACAGCACAACACAAGACATACAAAACAATGCAAAACTAAAAACTCAGTTACCGTAGAATCCCAAGTGGCCTTGGTCTTATGTTTTAAATACAATTCCGCAAGGAAATTTCTTTCAACAGTAAGGTGAGCTTATAACGGGGTGGGCTTATACCCGTGATTCTACAGTAATCCACTTGATACAACTCCCCAATAATAAAATGTAATCATGTTTTATTGTTATAAATCTAGAAGAATCGCAAGAAAAAAGGAATTTAACAATATGTTTTTTTTTTTGTTATTGTTGTTTAGACCCCACAGTCCAAATCCACATTACGGATTTACCAGATGGCATGGATGATGCCCCTGTCCATGGTGGGTTTATACAAAAGGAATTATAATTATATATTAATTAACATCAWTATGCTTGATAGCTTATTTTGACATGCAAGTGATATAAAAATCAATGTAAAAGTAAAAAGTTAATATTTTGTTCTTTTATAAAACAGGAAATTGTATGTCGGCCCAGTCATGATTGATGATTTAAGAGAAGGTACAACAATCTTTGTCAACATGCATKTACACATAATTTCTTTATGGATGTATTTTGATGGTTTCTTAATTATTAATTATTATTGATCATATATTAGTTGTTTTTCTTTAATTGATAAAATATGTTTTTACATTTAAGTTGTAAGTGACCACTTTGTTTTACGACACGGATCAAATCTCCAGCTGCGGTTCATGTCCACCCATGTAGTAAGTTGTTTCGCATTAAGTTGGGCATATTATTCTTTATTCTGTAAATTTTATTTGAATAATGATATAAAGTCACTCTTTGAACCATACACATGTATCCTGTTCCCAGATAAAAAAAACAGCTCACATCCAAAATGGGAAACCATTGATAATTGTGTTATGGAATGATGAGGAGCAAGAATCTTTAAGGTAACATCATCATCATCATATTCATCGTCTTTGTCATTATCATTATATTATGCTTGTAAAGTTTATAAAAGGAAAAAATAATAAAAGGAAAAAATATATATTTAACCCAGAACTGAAGAGCTTCAATCATTAGTTTTTAAAAGAATTCAACCTATTTATTAATAGCATATCAACTGAGATTTGTAGATGTAACATGTCTTTACCCAATSATGTATTTTAGGGCTGTCCAAGAGTGCACAGAGTTTATAAATGCCAACTGTMACATTTGTCCCATAAAATATGGGAYAACAGACCACAGAAAGCGTATGYATTGCTTATTCCATTAGAATATATTAGTTTGTAAGAATCAAAWGCTCATATGGACATTGTTTGGATTTATATTATGTCATTTTTATGGTAAAAATATAAAAAACCATATGCTTAATTATCTGCCCTATTTTACAGTGACCAGAGAATTTAGACTTATGGGGTAAGACAACTGTTCCCAGGGCATTTTCATGCTAACTAGAGTTGGTAGCATGTTTGTGCCCTTGGAAAGCCTGACAGGTATGATTGCATGATAAACTTTTTATTTGTTAGTTAATTTACTTACTACTTACTAAGTCTATTACTTATTACTTACTACACAAAATTATTAGTTATTCAACTTCTATTAGTATATAATTATAAGAAACATTAGTCAGATTGTTGTCTATAATTTTTTTTTTGGATGAAATAGATTTCCCTGTGTCAAGATCTCAGTTGAATGCTACCATACAAAGGGGACTTGAAGCCTTTCAGGCAAGAAGGACAAATTGGTAAGTAGTAAACAATTTTTATATGTGGCAGCCATACTGTAGGTTGTCAAAAGCTGTTATTAAAGTTGCATGCAGATGAGCCATTATGCATTGTATCAACCCTATAGCTTCACTTGAGCGATCCTCAAAACAAGATTTTCTCATTGTGGGATTAGCTGTAATATCAGCAGCAGCAGTTAGGGGGACCCGCGGAGGGGGTACCGTATGAGTCGGGTATTACCCCCACCAAACACCATTGGTCGGCCGCGGGTATTACCCGTAAGGTCCCTATGTGTATTGCCTGCGTAATTCGACTCGAAAAGCTCCCTACGGGTTTTACTGGTGCCCCGCATCACTGAGTTAAAATATTTGTTCTTAGTGTCGCAAACAAAGGTTAAAATATTTCCTAGATATGGATGGACGCCATCAAAAGCATTCAAAACAAAACTGTACGCAAGCTGCGAACCCAGGTATTGGATCGTTTGGACGCCGACTTCGCCTTCACGACATTCACAGAAGGAGACACAGAAGAAATCATGGACGAAGAAAGAGCCGAAAAGATAATAAACCTGATGCCTGAAGGTAATTACCGTTTACAGTTAACGTTTATAAAGTATTACGACGGTGAATGGATAATAGAGAGAGGTCGTAACCCTATTTGGGCGTCTGGTAAGCAAAGCTTGTTCGTCCTAAACAAGAATACCAGGCCCGGAGCGCTGGTAGGCATCGACATGTTGTTCTACGAAGTTGCTTACCCTGTTACAGTAGTAATCTACGGTGCGTATGAGATTAAGGAGCCAGACGTTAAGCTCAAAACTCAAACCAATGCGACATCCCGGCAACTGCGTAGGGAAGTTAGTCGGGGAGTTCTTTGAAGATTCCGCCCACGGAGGTAAGCTTACCCCAAAGAGAAGATAAGCCATCAGAAAGTGGAAAAACTCCACCTACAAAGCTGGAGCAACCATAGACAACGTCAAGAAATTAGAAACAGCCTTAGAAAGACGCATCGTAGTCAAAGACATCACGGACGGTTTCATTTACCATGGGACTCATAAATATGGCGGCAGAGGTGCTCCTATCGTCATTTATCAACACAACGCGCAAATCCTGTAGCCGGCGCGTCGTAGTGGCCGTCTAACGAAACACGAAAGAACTGAGAGTCTGGGTGTCCGTAGCGGTCGTAATATTCTTTACAGTCTCCTAGGCCTGTGAATGACGCAGGGTAACAATGTTTCATATCTAAAGATGCGTATTCTTCCTCGTCGTATTCCATGTTCCATAGACCTCCATGTCCATGTTCTACGCATGCTAGTATGCTCGCATATGCGCATATCAATCTCTTAGCAATGCTCCTACGGTTTGACAAAGAAGACGTTCCGCGCGTAGCTACGGATTCCTTGTACGTGAAACCGCACGTCTTAGAGAAGATGAAAGAATTCTACACAGAAGACGAGTTAGCGGAAAGTGGACAATGGCGCGTCAAAGATGAAGAAATAAAAGCCTGGAGGGAACGCGTAGAATATCACGGAGAACACACTCGCGGTTCCGTAACCCCCACCGCGGACCCCCTACCTTCAGTTGCGGACCCAATCTCTTACCAACGCTTCTCTTACCTTTACGGTACGGGAGGCAGAGGTAAGACGACGCGTGTGTTAGAACTCTTTCCTAAGATAAAGGTGCTAACTCCAACACACCGCTTGGAAAGAGAACTCTGCGAAATGGGCCACGACGCGCAAACATACCACAGCTTCTTTCGCTGGAATGGTCAAAAGTGGGTACCGGAAGCTATCCACGACATACCACCAGTAATACTTTGGGACGAAATCTGTACCGTTCCTTTGGAAATCCTACAAGAATTCGTAGACTTCCTCCGCGGAAAGTGTCAAGTTGTATTTGCTGGGGATCCATGCCAGCCGCCTCCTATAGCAGGCACAATGCCGCACGAATGGTTAAAAGATCTAGTAGACCACTCCGAAGAAATTAACACCGACTACCGCAGCAAAGATCAAATACTTAACTTAAAAGCAGAACTGCGGGGTCTTAGCGACGCCGAGCAATGCAAGACACTGCGCAAACGCGTACGAGCGAAGAAATACGAGGACTTCCTATACGCCTGGCATCCTAAAGATCTGGTGCTAAGTAGTAAGCGCGTAGCACAGTCTCGCATACAAAAAGACTTACTCAAAATACACCAAGAGCGCTTCCCTACACATCCCGTACCCGTTTGTTATAAACCCC